CATGTTGGCCAGGCTGGTCTTGAACTCCTGACCTCAGGTGATCCACCTGCCTTGGCCTCCCAAAGTGCTGGGATTACAGGCGTGAGCCACCACACCAGTCCATATATTTTATTTTTTATTTTACTTTTTTTTTCTTTTTTTTTGAGACGGAATCTCGCTCTGTTTCCCAGGTAGAATGCAGTGGCATGATCTCGACTCACTGCAGCCTCCGCCTCCCAGGTTCAAGAGATTCTCCTGCCTTAGCCTCCCAAGTAGCAGGGACTGCAGGCCTGCACCACCATGCCTGGCTAATTTTGCACAAGGTTTCACCATGTTGGCCAGGTGGTCTTGAATTCCTGGCCTTAAGTGATCCACCTGCCTTGGCCTCCCAAAGTGCTGGGATTACAAGCATGAGCCTCTGCATCTGGCCCATAGTTTGTTTTTTCTCATGTTGAGAGACATTTGAGTTATCTCAAAATTTTCCTGTTACAACATACTAGCATGAACATTGTTAAATGTGTCTCTTGGTAGACCTGTGCCTTTCTGTTAGATATATATCTAGCAGTGGTAGAGGGAATCGGGTCTATGCATCTTCATTTTTACTATGTAAAACAAAACTTCTCCAGAGAGATTTTATCCCCTTGTTCGTAGCAATGGATTAGAATTTCAGTGCTCTGCATCCTTTCTAACACTTGGTATCAGACTTTTTTGTCTTAATAATTTGTATTTCTAGTTACAAATAAGCTTGAGCCCCTTTTTGTGTTTATTGGCTATTTCACTTTTGATAATAGATGATATTAGGGAATAATTTAAGTGGAATGTTATTTTAGAAAACCATACTGAAATACTTAAGGATGTAATACTAATTTACTTAAAAATATTTCAGCAAAAAAAAAGTGCAGACGTAGATAACGTTTCAGTGACATCAGAAAATATTACCTGGGAATACATCAAAAAATATTCAAGAACTCTGTCAACAAAAATATAAAATCTTATCAAGACATTAAAGAAAGTGGAGGCTGGGTGAGTTGGCTCATGCCTGTAATCCCAGCACTTTGGGAGGCCAATGCAGGCAGATCATCTGAGGTCAGGAGTTTGAGACCAACCTGCCCAACATGGTGAAACCCCATGTCTACTAAAAATACAAAAACTAGTCAGGCGTGGCAGCAGGTGCCTGCAATCCCAGCTACTCGGGAGGCTGAGGCAGGAGAATCGCTTGAACCCAATAAGCAAAGGTTGCAGTGAGCTGAGATCTCACCATTGCACTCCAGCCTGGGTGACAAGAGCAAGACTCTGTCACAAAAAAAAAGAAAGGGGAGACAAAAATGGATAGAAATACTGTCTTCACAATTTGAAAGTCTCAGTATTCTAAACATATAGCCCAACTGATAGAAATAGTCTGTCCCGCCGGGTGCGGTGGCTCACGCCTGTAATCTCAGCACTTTTGGAGGCCAAGGTGGGTGGATCACCTGAGGTCGGGAGTTCGAGACCAGCCTGACCAACATGGAAAAACCCCGTCTCTACTAAAAATACAAAATGAGCCAGGCGTGGGTGGCACATCCCTGTAATCCCAGCTAGTCCAGAGGCTGAGGCAGGAGAATCACTTGAACCCAGGAGGTGGAGGTTGTGGTGAGCCGAGATGGTGCCATTGCACTCCAGGCTGGGGAACAAGAGTGAAACTCTGTCTAAAAGAAAAAGAAAGAAAAATGTTCTGCCCATAAATTTGTGTGGCTTTCCTTTTTTGCATATAAACTTATTTTCTGGACTATTTAACTTTTGTGATTAAGGAGTCAATTAAAGTCTTATTGCAGTTACCATAAATTCTTTCCCATGTGAATGAATGCTAATTCCTCAGATGACTTCACCAGGAAAAAAATTTAACAAAGAGCATCACCTAGTGACATATATTAATGGCTGCATTTCATTCCTTAGTGCTAAGAAAGATTTTGTTTTTTAAGCAGACTTTATTATATTTGGTTCCTTTGCATGTATTTTTAGGAATGAACCCTTCTAGTCCAAAAGCTGTTTGTATCATAACTCAACATACAGAAATAAGATGAAGGCTTTGTTTTGTTCTAATGAAATGAATCACTTTAATGTAGTGCATTGATTTGCTGCACCTTGATATCTGGCAGGAGGATATCAAGACTGCGTTCACATATTCTGAAATATTACAGTGCTTTATTATAGAAGTTCCAAAGCTCTGATCATAAAACTTATATGAGGAGCTTTTAAGAAAATTCTTATTCCTGGGATGTTGTGGTTCGTTTGGTCTGGAATTGAGCCCAGGATTTTTTTTTTCCAACTCCTCAGGTGATTCTGATCATCAGCTGTAACAAATACAATTAGCTGCACATGGCAAAAAGCCATTCCCATGCCTATTTACTTCTCTACGTACTAGAAGATAGTACCCCGTTGTCACATTTTCTCTTTCACAGCCTCTCTTGCAACTAGGAGTAGCCAGCATATGAGGGGAATCTGCTGAGGCCATCTGGGAAAGACTTACCTCACTGACAAGAAGAAAGCACTTATCTAACAGGCTTTTTCTACCTGAATATGATAGTGAGGAAACATGATGTCTAGAGCTTGCAGCCATCATGGGAACACCAAATGAGCTGCCGAGACAGTGATCCAGAGCCCTGACACTGTGAAGCTGCTGAACTAACAAGCCCTGGACTCACCCACCTCTGGAATTCTTGTAAGATAATTACATGTCTACAGCTTTTTCAAGCACCCATGTCTGTTTAAAAAAAAAAAAAAAAGTTTTTAAATAAAGTTTCTTTTGTTGTTAAAAAAAATGTTAATTACATGTCTAATTAGACATTTAATGCATAAGCTGTTGCTACTTAGAAATTCTGTTACTTTCAGCCAAAGGCATTCCCAGCTGATACCTCAGCAAGTTTTATAACCCTATTTTATAGCACTTATATGCTGTGGCAAAAAGAGAAAGACCAGTGTATCAAAAAAATGATTCATTAGTAATGAAGGCTTATCAAGGCTTATGCAGAATATTTGAGTACATTCTGCAAAAGAAGAATTGATATACCATGTATACAAGATTATATATGTAAGACCTAAATCTTATATAAGATAGATCTCATACATATTATACTTTTATAATGTAAAATTAAAACTGTTAGATGTCACATTTATGCAAAGTTATAAATATTCCATGATCCTAAACTTTTTTTCTTAAGTGAAATTTATAACAATCTTAACTTTTAACACATCTTTGTCCCTTCCTTTTACCCCTCTTTCTAGGTCTTGTCTTTTCCTCGTAACATTAGTCCTGTATTGAATGATTACCCTGTAATTGTGGCACAGAATTCTTTTCTCTCATGTTATTCAGATTTGTCAGCAATACTGAATGTTACAGGACCATTTTCCACAATTTTTACTGGCTACGCTGATGCAATATAGGGGATATGTTGGAATTGCTTACTCATCTCTATGCTAGTGAGTCCTACAATTTTGTCAATCATTATACCTACTGAAAAAAAATCATACCTTCCCAAATCTCATACATAAGACTTCTTAAGGAAGTAGTCTTTTCTTTTTTTTTTTGAGATGGAGTTTTGCTCTGTTTCCCAGACTGGAGTGCAATGGCGCAATGTCGGCTAACTGCGACCTCCACCTCCTGGGTTGGTTCAAGCAATTCTCCTGCCTCAGCCTCCTGAGTAGCTGGGATTATAGGCATGAGCCACCACGCCCAGCTAATTTTTTGTATTTTTAGTAGAGACGGGGTTTCGCCATGTTGGCCAGGCTGGTCTCAAACTCCTGACCTCATGATCTGCCTGCCTCGACCTCCCAAAGTGCTGGGATTACAGGTGTGAGCCACCACACCCAGTCTTGTTAGGCTTTTTAACTATACATTTAGACACATCCTCTTATTTTACCAAATAAGTCTGAAATAAATATAAATGAACATTTTGTTTTTTATTTTAGTGTTAAATGTTTACAAAAGACAGTGAAGGATTCTTATCACATAATGTGTAGACCGTGTGCCTGTGAACTTGAAGTTTGCGCAAAATGTGGAAAGAAAGAAGACGTTGTTATTCCGTGAGTGTTTCCTTTTATGTTTGACGTTTACTCTTAGTGATTGACACATGAATTTCTTTTAAGAGATGATCCATAACTCTTAGACTTAAGTTGCATGTCAAACTTATATAGACTTTTAAAATTATTTTTCTATCATTACAATAAAAGTGAAACTTTATATTTTAAAGAAAGCAAAATATTTATTGGTGAAATTCTTATTCACTACAAAAGAATTACGCGTTATGTAACTTTTCTTTTAATAGATATCATGTATTAATTTTTTTGAGCCTACTTTAGTGACAATAGTGTTATAATTGGTTGGATCTTGAGTTAGTGTTCAAGGAATTTTTTTTTTTTTTTTTTTTGAGACAGAGTTTCGCTGTTGTTGTCCAGGCTGGAGTGCAATGGCACGATCTCGGCTCACTGCAACCTCCGCCTCCCAAGTTCAAGCGATTCTCCTGCCTCACTCAGCCTCCCAAGTACTTGGGATTACAGGCTTGTACCACCACGCCCAGCTAATTTTGTATTTTTAGTAGAGATAGGGTTTCGCCACGTTGGCCAGGCGGTTTCGACCCTCTGACCTCGGGTGATCCGCCTGCCTCAGCCTCCCAAAGTGCTGGGATTGCAGGCGTGAGCCACCACTCCTGGTTGGATCTTTTTCTTTATACTTACTTCATTAGGTTCTTGTTAATCAAGAAATGTAGTAGTAAAAGTCTTTTCAATCTACATGATTAAATAATGAAAGCCTGAGAAATAAATAGAAACTTTTTCTTTCATGTTTAGGTTGAATAAAGAAACAGAAAAAATAGAACATACTGAAAATAATCTAAGTTCCAACCATAGAAGAAGCTGCAGAAGAAATGAAGAAAGTGATGATGATTTAGATTTTGATATTGATTTAGAAGACACAGGAGGAGACCTTCAAATGAATTAATATCACTGTATTAAAAGTTGGCTGGGCACAGTGGCTCACGCCTGTAATCCCAGCACTTTGGGAGGCCAAGACGGGCTACACTCCAGCCTGGGTGACAGAGCGAGACTCTGTCAAAAAAAAAAAAAAAAAGTAAATTTAAGAATGTGAAATTCTGACCACCTTTGGCTTTGAGTATTTTCCAAAAGATACTGTGAAATCCTAATGAGGAAATCAGAAAAAGCTATGGAAAAATAGACAAATTTCATACAGGAACAATGTAAATTGTGTATATTACTTAATACCAAACTAAACAAGATTCAGAATTGATGGTTGTATAAGAACTAGCTCATGTAAAAATAAGATGACATTATATTGCCTCAAAAATTGGTCGTCAGTAAGTGCCTTTTGATAAATGATCTCAAATAAATGACTCATAGCAAAAGCCGTCACTTATGTTTAAGTGTTACAAAGCAAAAGCAGTTTTTTCAAAATAATGTTTAACAAGCATATAGCAACCCTTCTTTGTAATTTTTTTTTTTTTTTTTTTTTGAGACGGAGTCTCACTGTTGCCCAGGCTGATCTCAGTTCACTGCAAGCTCTGCCTCCCGGGCTCACGCCATTCTCCTGCCTCAGCCCCCCGAGTAGCTGGGACTACAGGCGCCCGCCACCACGCCTGGCTAATTTTTTATATTTTTAGTAGAGACAGGGTTTCACCATGTTAGCCAGGATGGTCTCGATCTCCTGACCTTATGATCCGCCCGCCTCGGCCTCCCAAAGTGCTGGGATTACAGGCGTGAGCCACCACTCCTGGCCCTCTTCTTTGTATTTTTATGTATCTCATCACATTTGAATCTTTTTTCTCTTGTGAAATGTACATACAGAAAAAGTGCATATAATTTATACACTTTATAATAAATTTATGCATTTTTTATAATAAGTAATTATAGAGGAAAGTTCATGCATTTACACACCTAGGTGAGGAAACTGCCAGCATCAGGATACCCCAGCAAGCCTCTCCCTCAGCAAAGGTTCATCTTTCTTCCCAAAGTTGGTACTATTCTTCTGAATTTTGATCATTATTGTCTTAATTTTTTTACTATCCATGTTTGTACTCCTAAACAATATGAATTAGCTTGGTCTGTTTTTTTTTTTTTAATTCTTTTCTGTCTTTTAATTTTTTATTATATATTTTTTATTTTTCCATAAGTTTTTTGGGGTACAGGTGGTATTTAGTTAGATGGATAAATTCTACACTTGATCTCAGCTAAAAGGCTGTGAAGTGATGGATGGATAAGCTCTTTAGTAGTG